TGGGAGAGCACAGAGAATCATTTGGAACCCAGAGGCAGAGGTGCAGTGAGCCAAGAATGCACCACTGCACTTCAGCCTGGCAGACAGAGCGAGACTCCATCTCAAAAGTATTATTTTTAAATTAAAACTTAAAAAAAAAAAGCAGTCACAATGGCATAGCCTGTAATCCCAGCACTTGGGGAGGCCAAGGCCAAGAGGACAGCTTGAAGGCCAGGAATTTCAGCCCACCTGGGCAATATGGCAGACGGTCTCTACCAAAATTTTAAAAAATTAACCAGGTATGGTGGCCATGCTCCTGGAATCCAGTTACTCAGGGGACACTGGCAGGAGGAGTTAGAGGCTACAGTAAGCTATGACTAACCACCACACTCCAGCCTGGGCAACAGACGTTGAAATTAAGTAGCTGGGTCTGCAGGTATGCACCACCACACCTGGCTAATTTTTGTATTTTTAGTAGAGGCAGGGTTTTGGGACATTGGCTGGTCTCAAACTCCTGACCTCAGGTGATCCACCTGGCTCAGCCTCCCAGAGTGCTGGGATTACAGGCAACAAGCCGCTGCACCCAGCCCCTTTCTTGAGTCTTGAGCCACCCCTACTTCCAAGGCACCGTCACTAATCTCCTTAGACCAGTGGTCTCAACTGGAGATGGTTTTTCTATGAGGGGACATTTGGCATCATCTAGAGGCATTATTGGTTGTTATGGCTTATGAAGGTTATAGGTGTGGTTTACTCCTGTCGTTTAGTGGGTAGAGGCCAGGCATGCTCCTAAACGTCCTACAATGTACAGGGCAGCCCTTCACAACAGAGAATCATGTCCAAAATATCAGTAGTGCCAAAATTGAGAAACCTTCCTTTATACCTGTCTCATGATATTGCCTAACGTCAGACTGTTTCTTGCAGAGCCATCCTCCTCAAGGTGCGAGACGTGGTCAGCAGCCATGTGGAGCGTGTGTTTCAGATCTATGAGCAGCATGCAGACACAGTTGGCATTGATGCTGTCCTGCAGCCTTCAGCAGTGAGCCCCTCTGTGGCTGACATGTTGGAATGGTTGCAGGATATTGAGAGACATTATCGAAAGTCGTATCCTTTGCACACATTTCAGGTCATGGCCAGAGCTGTTCTAAGTCTTTCAAATTTCAGTTTTCACAAGATTGGAAAACTGTATAGTTTGAGTCAGTTCTCTTTGGTTCCTGAACCTGGATTCTTCCTGCATTCCTTTGTATAATCTTTCCTCTAATAATTTACTGAGTCGCTGCTACCTGTCAGGCACTGTTCTTGGTGCAGAGAGACAGGCATTAAAAAAGGAAAGTAGAGTGCCAGATGGCGATAAGTGCTATGGAGAAAAATAAACCTGGGAAAGTGAGGAGTGAGGGTGGGGTTGTGATTTAAAATAGGGTAGTCAGAGCAGGCCTGATGAGAAAGTGATATTCGAGCAAAGATCTGAAGAGGGTAAGGGAAAGAGCTATATGGGGAGAGAAAGCTACTAGGCAGAGGAAACATCAAATGCAAAGGCCTTGAGGTAAGAACATTCCTGGTCTATTCAGGAAATAGTGAGGAGACTAGACTAGAGTATGAGGAGGAGCCTAATAGCAGGTGAGGGTAGAAAGACGGAGGGGCTCGACTTTCTAGGGCCTTGAAGGTCTTTGAAAGAATTTGGGGTCCGGGCGTGGTGGCTCATGCCTGTAATCCTTGCACTTTGGGAGGCTGAGGTGGGAGGATTGCTTGAGCCCAGGAGTTTGAGACCAGCCTGGGCAACATGGTGAAACCCCATCTCTACAAAAAATACAAAAATTAGCCACGCGTGGTGGTATGTGCCTGTAGTCTGTAGTCCCAGCTACTCGGGAGGGTAAGGCTGGAGGATTGCTTGAACTGGGGGAGGTTGAGGCCGCAGTGAGCTGAGATTGTGCCACTACACTCCAGCCTGGGTGATAAAGTGAAACTCTGTCTCCAAAAAATAATAATAATAATAATAATAATTTTGGGCCAGGCATGATGGTGTGCAGCTTAGTCCCAGCTACTCAGGAGGCTGAGTTGGGAGGGTTGCTTGATCCTGGAAGGTCAAGGCTGCAGAGAGCCATGATCGCCAGCCTGAGTGTTATCACCAGCCTAGGTGACAGAACAAGACCCTGTCTCAAACCGCCCCCACCCCCACCAAAAGAAAAAGCATTCGAGTGACAGAAAAAGCTCTTAGAAACTTTTGATTAAGGAGTAACAGGATAAGACCTATGTTTTTAACAGTATCATTCTGGCTTCGTTCTAGGGTAAGATTTGGGGTAGTAGGGGCAAGGGTAAAAGCAGAAAGACCAGTTAGTTGAAGCTCTAACATTTTTCTCTCAAAAAATTTTTTTTTGCCTAGGAGATGGGGTCTTGCTGTGTTGACCAGGCTGGTCTTGAACTCCTGTCCTCAATGATCCTACCACCTTGGCTTCCCAAAGTGCTAAGAGTACAGGTGTGAGCCTCCATGCCTGGTCTCTCAGTTCTTGTCTGATACCTGATTTTAGCCTTTGGCTTAGATTTCTGCCTTCATGTGAATTTTTCTTATCTCCAGTCTTGACTTTTGGTTTCCTGCAGATGCCTCCAACTGGATTGTTCTTGGAACTGCAAACTCAAGTTTAAAATTGAACTCCTCAATCTAGCCGTCAAATTCAGCCCCCTTTTCCTTGAGTTGTAGAACCCACCCTATTTTCTCTTTTATTTATTTATTTTTTGAGACAGAGTTTTGCTCTTGTTGTCCAGGCTGGAGTGCAGTGGCATGATCTTGGCTCACTGCAACCTCCACCTCCCGGGTTCAAGCAATTCTCCTGCCTCAGCCTCCCAAGTAGCTGAGATTACAGGCACCTGCCACCATACCCGGCTAATTTTTGTAGTTTAAGAGATAGGGTTTCACCATGTTGGCCAGGCTGGTCTCAAACTCTTGACCTCAGGTGGTCCTATCAGCTTGGCCTCCCGAAGTGCTGGGATTACAGGCATGAGCCACTGCGCCCAGCTTATTTTCCCTTTTAAATGTGTTGGTAGCAGCAGTAGTAACAGCAACAGGAACATGGGCAGAAGGAGCAAGAACTGCAGCTGACATTACTAAGCACTTGCTATGTGCTAGAGTGTTTACACAGTCACTCGTCAAGTCCTTTCCCTCTGTTTCCTTGGTGCTTCTTTGATTTTCCTTCTCTGTCCCCTCTGCTGCTTACATGGCTTCTTACCTCTCACTTGGATTCTTAATTGCATGTAGCCTCTTGACGGGTTTCTCTGTCTAGTTTCTTTCCCTCTAAGCTGACTCCAATTAATGACCTCTATTCCTTCAGGAAGTCTGGCTCTGATCCTGCTCCTTAGGATCAGAATTGTACTGTACAGTATAGGAATAGCTCCTGTTGCTAATGGGATAAAGTTCAGAGCCCTGCCTTGGTACTCAGTGTTCTTTCTGTTCTGACTTAGCCCACCTTTCAGCCTTTCTGACTGCTTTCCATGTGGTGTCCATGCTGAGCAGACTGGAAGATTTGCTTTCCCTGAATTCATTCTATGTGTCTGTGCCTTCATTTATGTTTCCTACCAGCTGGGGTGTCCCTGCTTCCTCTGAATTGGGTGTATTTATCCTCTGAACCTCCACTAGCTTTACCTCTCATGTCACTTTTGTTCTTTCTTTCCAGGATCTGGTTTTGTCCTCACCATGCTGAGATCCCAGATTTCAGAGATGGTTTCATTTCTCTTTCCCTGTAGCACAAAGCCATATTAGTAAACAGTTGCTCAGGAAATATTTGTAGCATAGGTGAATCAGGCCCACCTGGTAAAATGTAAGGATATCTGCACTTTCATTTTTATAGCTCCCTCTGGTTCTCACCAGGGTGTTTTTTTAACTTCAGCATATTTCATTTTCTTTTGAGCAGTCCTTAACTTCCAGAAAGGTACCTGAATAGAAAGTATCTTCTTTCCTCTATCCGGTGGGGAGACTTGGCAAACATCCAAGCTTTGCCCAAGGCCTGGGACCGAATTTCAAAAGACGAACACCAAGATCTTGTACAAGGTACTGGTTTGTGTTCTTCCTTCGTGTCTCCTCTCCTCCTTTCTCTCCCTGTGGCTTACCTCTTTGGAAGCTTTAGGAAAAAGCTTCCTTGCTGTGCCTCTGTGTTTTATGTTCTCGGGAGAGGTGATGATGCCATTTTTTCTTTCTTCCTATTTCAGATATCCTATTGAATGTTTCCTTCTTCCTGGAAGAGTAAGGAAGCTGTGCGTATCTGGAGACCACGGGCCCCACAGTGGAAGACTGACATTCTAAACCCTGATGTTTTTAAAGAAACGTCAGTATTTCAGTCCCACGTATTTGAAATATCAGTGCCTTGAACCTGAGGACTGGGTCTTGGGGAGGATTAGTGCCTAGATGTCTGATGTTGGAGCTGCAGCATGCCAGGCCATGGCTGAGAGTATGTGAGCCACACCTTGCCCTTTTCTGAGGCTCAGGGAAGTGGATGGAGATAGAGACACAGCAGGAAAGACGGTGCTGAAGAATATAGTGCCTTGCCTCCACTGTAGACTTGAAGAGGTGGGGAAGCAAGGACAGGAGGCAAAGAGCCACACTGCCCTTGGCATCATCCAGAGCATTGTCTGGTTGACACCAGGTCCTGGTTTTGTGTCTTTTGTCAATATCTGAATCCTTGACAAAAGAAAAAGTGATTTTGATGATTTAAAGAAATAAGGGTGATTTTGACAGAAAATATATTTTAAAAATAGTGACCAATTGCAATAGTTATCCTCAAGCCAATTTCCAGAGCCTGCCACCAGGGGGAGGTGGTGCAGCATGAATCATTCTGAATGCTTTGTCTTTGAAGTGTTCCCCTATTGCTGTTACTGTCTCAGAGGAAGTAACTGGGCATGGTGAGACTCCTGACATGACAGGAGGTTTTTTGGCCAAAGCTGGCATCTGACTTGCCACATTCCTCTGAGTCTGTAGTACCTGCAGGGGTGGGAGAACGCCAGCCCAGAGTCAGTCCATCAGGGTTACATTTCCAAGGCCTGCTGCCTTCGTCTATGTAATGGCCGTGTTACTTTCAGACCTTTCAACTTCCCAGGGTGTTGTAGAAATCTTGGTCATTGAATGTAAAGGGACTTAGTAAAGGGTATAGATGTTTTTCAAAAATGAAAATAACTTTTTTTCTTGTAAGTGATAAGCTTTTATAAAGATCATAGGAAAACTAGAAAAAAATGTAAAATGTAGAAAATTGTAAAACAAACTTCATTAGAGATATTTTGATATGTATCTTTTCAGTGTCTATTTACAAATTTTTTCTTTTAACGTAGATAGGGTCTCACTATATTGCCCAGCTCAAACTCCTGAGCTCAAGGGATCTTCCCACCTGAGCCTCCCAAAATGTTGGGAACACAGGCGTGAGCCACTGCTCCCGGCTAATTCACAAATTTTTTTAAAGGACAAACATGGTATCATCGATACATACTGTTAGGTTGTCTTTTTTTAAAAGCCTAATATAATTTGTTCATCTTTTTATAAATATAGCTCAACACAGTTATATTCCTTTTGTGAATGTATTGTATCTACAATTTATCTTTTTTCTTACATTTTACATGCATTTTCCCAAATCTTTTTGTTTTCCTATCTGTAAAGGTAATACATTCTGATTATGAAAATTTAAAACACTACATAGAAATGTACTATTATCTATCTGCCAGATAATTATTATTAATAATGTGTATTTATTTTTCTAGGAATTAAAATCTATCTTATAAGTATTGCAAATAAAACTTAGAAAGAATTTGAGCGTCAAGTCTTATGTTGGGCTCTGGGGACAGAAATAAACGAGAGCCCTAGAAAGGCTCACAATTCCACCAGGGAAAGATGAATGTGCAAATAAATCACTGATATCTTGTGGAAATTTTGGTTTTGATTCTGTAGGTCTGGGATGGGGCCCAGATTCTGCATTTCAAACGAGGTCCCAGCTAACGGTCCAAGGACCAGACTTTGGATGGCGGAGATTTAAGTTGTAATACAATAATAAAAGTGTCAGAGTTAAGGTAAAAACAGGTGCTATGGGAGAATAGAGGTGATAACTAATTGCCTGTGGGACTCCTTGATGACAGTGACATTCGCCGTGTGCCTTGGAGGGAATTTTACTTGGGGCTAGGAGAGGGGTGCGGGGCATTCCATGCACAGGAGACAGTCTAAACAAAGGCTGTGTTTGAGGCAGAATGGAAGCCAGCACTTGATGAAAGTTTGCTGTGTGCCAGGCATTGTGCTTGTTGCCTTTACCCTCCAGAACTGGCAAATAATAGTTCAGTATCGCAAATAACGAGTTCACAGATGGATGGAAGGATGGCAGGAAATGGGTCAGTAAGGGTGGACTGGAACCAAACTGTGAGGAGGATTGTGAATCCCAGCTCAAGCGTTTGTATTTTGCTCTACAAAAGGGAGTTGCTTGCTTATGTGTATGCATGTGTAATAAAGAGGTTTTTAAACCTCCCTCATGGAAGCAAGTAATGGCTAAGTAGAAACAAGCATGTTTATGGTGCTAGTAATAACTATATAGTATTGAAGTATAATTGTTACTGTTTTTATTTTGTTCCCTGTTAGTATTTTGTCTGTTAAGATGCCATATTTTTCATTGTTCTTTTTAAATTTAAAATAAATTTTATATTTTTGAAACAGAGTCTCACTCTCACCCAGGCTGGAGTGCAGAGACACAATCTCAGCTCACTGCAACCTCTGCCTCCTGGGTTCAAGTGGTTCTCCTGCCTCAGCCTCCTGAGTAGCTGAGATTACAGGTGCTTACCACCATGCCTGGCTAATTTTTGTATTTTTAATAGAGACGAGGTCTCACCATGTTGGCCAAGCTGGTGTCGAACTCCTGACCTCAAGTGATCTGCCTGTCTCAGCCTCCCAAAGTGCTGGGATTATAGGCGTGAGCCACCACACCCAGCCTGGTTTATTTTTTAAGTGATACATCAATATTGTAAAATAGGTATGCAAGAGCATACCTATTAGGCTGGGCACAATGGCTCTTGCCTATACTAGCACTTTGGGAGGCCAAGGTGGGAGGACGGCTTGAGGTCAGGAGTTTAGACTAGTTGGGCAACCCTGTCTCTACAAAAAAATACAAGCCAAGTGTGGGGATGTGTGCCTGTAGTCCTAGCTGTTTGGGAGGCTGAGGTGGGAGTTTCCCAATTTCCTTCCCTGAAGGCAACCAATATTGAATGTTTCTAGTGTATCTTTCCAGAAATACTATGCCTGTGTGCGTGTGGTGGGTAGGTATCCTCAAAGACAGCCCCCAGTGCTCCCACCTCTGGTATTCATGCCCTTGTGTACTCCCCTCCCCTTCCAGATGGACTTTTTTTTTTTTTTTTTTTTTTTTTTTGAGACAGTCTCGCTCTGTTACCAGGCTGGAGTGCAATGGCGTGATCTTGCCTCACTGCAACCTCCACCTCCCGGGTTCAAGTGATTCTCCCGACTCAGCCTCCCGAGTAGCTGGGACTACAGATGTGTGCCACCAGGCCCAGCTAATTTTTGCATTTTTAGTAGAGACAGGGTTTCACCATGTTGGCCAAGATGGTCTCGATCTCTTGATCTCATGATCTGCCTGCCTCTGCCTCCCAAAGTGCTGGGATTACAAGCGTGAGCCACCACACCTGGCCACAGATATACATCTGATGAATAAAATACTACAAAAGTGGTAGGATGTTACTTCTGAAATAGGTAAAAAAGACTTCAGCTTCCATCTTGGGTGCTCTCTGTCTCTGGGATCACCCACCCTGGGGAAAGGCAGCTGCGATGCTGAGGCAGCCCTGTGGAGAGGCTCATGTGAGAGACCAATGCCTGCCAACAACCATGTGACTGAACTTGGAAACAGATCCTCCCTCCCACAGTTGAACCTTCTAATGGGTCCACAGCCCCTGCTGACAGCTTGACTACAGCCTCTTGAAGACCCGAGCCAAAGGCAGCCTGCTAAGCGGTGCCCGGATTCCTGATCCATGTAAACTGGGATAATAAATGTTTTAAATCACTAAGTTTGGGGCCATTTGTTCCACAGCAATAGATAATCACTACATCAAAAAAACCTCCATTTTTATATGAAGGCTAACATACCATATACCCACTTTTGCACCTTGTTCTTTCTTACTGTATCTTGGACTTCATCCTATATATATAAGAGTTTCCTTACATTGTTTTAAACAGTTGCATAGATTTCTGTTGTGTGGGTAAACCATAATTTACTTAAAATAGCCCCTTAGGGTGGACATCTGTTTCCAAAGTCTTCATACCTATTGGTTTTTATAGTAGCAACCCCCCTGTACTCCCACTCTTGTTCATTAGGCCTCCCCTCCACCCCCTGGAATTTTCCACTTAGCTAATTCCACTACCTTCCAACAACAACAGAAAATAAATTGTCAGTATCTTTTACTGGAATCATTAAATTGATAAACGAATTCAGGGAGAGTCACCACAATGGGAATCCTTCTGGTGCTCCTCCTTTATGTATGCCACTGGCTTATGGATGAAGACACCAATGTGAGTTCTGTTCTGTTTTCCCTCAGCTGGGTAAGAACCCCTTTCTCTGTCAGTGTAAGACAGTCTTGGGATGAAATGAAGAATTTTGGTTTCCCTCTATCCTGTCCCTCCCCATCCACATCTAGAAATTGACCTTCAGATTCTTCTCTCAGAGTAAGGGTTGTCTCAAGGTGCTGGGTTGCCTGGGCCCTAAAGAGAAGGTCTCCTGTCTGCCCAAGGAGAGCCCCGGCTTTATGGGGACTGTATTACACCAGTCTTTAAGTGGGATGAGAATCCAGATGCCTTCCCAACCTGCTCAAACACTGGATCGTTTATAATTCCATTTCCCTATGAGAAGGGAGGAAGAGTGCACATTTCAGGGAGTAGGTTTGGGGATGAGGGGAAGGAGAGAACCTAGACCTGGGTTCAAGTCTCAGCTCAGCCTTTGCTAGCTATGTGATCTTGGGCAAGTAATTTCCCCTAAGTCTGTTTTCTCATCTGTATAGTGGAAGTGATGATATGTCCTTACAGGGTTGTAAGGTTTAACTAAGAGGAGATAGTGAAGGCTTTGGGTACATTTATGAGCATTTAAGGAACCGAAATTCACTTAAGCTTTTTTAGCCACCCACTAAGTGTATAGCTCTGTGCTAGGCTCTTTAATATCTTTCTAAACCCTAACAAATATTGAAACAAGTATGCTTACTTCCATTAGGTAGATGAGGAGACTGAGACAGAGACCTGGTAAATTCTCTAAATGCCCACAGCTTGTCACTGATGTTGCCAGCATTTGCTCCAGGGCTTGCCTGGTTCTGGTGAAAGGTGCTTTCCCCCACACCACTGTTCCTTCTCTGCCACAGAAGGCAAGAGCATGCCTACCATCTACTCAGCTGTAACAAGAGTAAGGTTTTCTGATACCCAGTCCTGCACAGGACATGGATCCTGCAGTGCAGAGCTACCTCCGTCGGGCTTGGCTGTGGCACACAAAGTATCCAAGCCTCTTCCAGGACAGCCACAACCTTGCCAGTTACCCTCCCTTCTGATCCCATAGCCAAGAGGGTTGGAGCAAATCCTAGCACGGTCTACCAGAGTCTTACACTTTTGCCCTTGATTTCAGGGCCTGATAGGAGAAAGCCAGTGATTCTGAAGGAATGACAGGGGTACCCCTTCCAGGCACTCTCCTCCTCCCCACCCTTCCTGGAAGGCTCCTTCTTGGTTTCCGCATAGACCAAAGGAAAGTCATTTTTCCGAGACTATGGGGCCCCAGCCCAGAGATTCCAATCTAGTATGTGCGGGGAGGGGCTAGATATCTGAATCCTTAATAAGTACCCTTCGTTCTGTTGCAGGGTCATTCCTTCAGAAAGAGCCTTCATCCTGAGAAAAAGCAGCAGTTAGCACAGAGATTGATGGCTGGGTAGAGTAGCCACAAAGACTGCCCTTCTCTGGGGAAGAAACGCCTCCATAACTCCCTCGCTGCACCTCTTTCCCCCTTTTTGTTGCCAGTTCTGAAGTCCAACGGGTACCTCGGCATTGCTCCCCGGCCCCTCTATGCTGTTTGGGGTGGGATAGTCATAACTTATGTATAGGGGACTTGAGAGTCTGTCGCATGCATATCCATTCATTCTGAGGCCTCCCTGTGTGCCCAGCACAGAACTCATCATTAGCAATACAGAGGTAAATCAAAGAAGTCCATGATTTAGAAGGCCACCCAGATCTGCAAGCCCTTCGTGAGAAGGGCTGTCGTGAAGGATGTGTGGGGAATGCAGTGGATGGAGAGAGTGACTGATGGTTTTTGTGGGTTTTTGTGGGAGGCGAGATAGCGGAATGTGAGACTAGCTCCTCTGTGAGTTAAGTTTCAGCAAGAGTCTTCCCTCTGGTCTCTAGTAGAGTAAGTGATGGGGGTGGGGGTCAGTGTGTCCTGTTGGTCATCATGTGAGCGGGGAACAACCCTCTCTGCTCTGGCTCATCTCTTCTGATTGAAACGTGTGGAGCAGTTCTTAATTTGCACAGAGAGCCCAGACTAATAAATCCGCTACTCAATTGCAATTCCCACAGTGCGTTTATAGGCAACAGCTGACTTTTATCAGCTAGTTTGTTCTTTCATATAAGCAGAGTTTTATGAGGGTCTCCTGAGCTGGCTCGTAACGTGATGAAACGTCTGCAAAACTCAACCATAAATCCCTGGCACCTGCCAAGCAGAGGATGCTGTTTTCCAGGCACATTTTGTCCAGCTGGCGGCTCTGTCCCCTTGCCCAGTTTGCATTTTTGCACTTGT